CTGAAAGACACCAAGGAATATTTTGAGTCAAAGAATGTATTTAGATAACAACTAAGGAAATATACAGACAAACTCCACATTAATACAAACAGATATGACTTCACATATAAGAACTGTTCTATTTTTTGTCAGTCCGATGTTGGTTTTATGCAGTTTCACATTCTTTACAAAACAAAGATAATATGGTGTTTTATTAACAAATTACAATTATAAAGAAAACATTTAGGTGTTAACAAACAAGAATTTATTAACAAAACTGCTGATGTCTTTCCAAAATGTATGTGTGAAAGCCGAGTAGAATTGCAGTAATGTGACGTCATCAGCGGGCGCTGGACCCCGAGCCGATCCGGCACCCGAGCAGATCCTGTACCGACACCGGCCCTCTTGCTTCTGGGTCTTTTTTTGTGAGTGGCCCTCGGACCATTATAATTGAGGACACCTGATTAATTGCATATGCAATTAAATTGCAATGTGACAAAAAGAGATTTTCTAATCGCAAAGGCTGAGATTTGACAGGCAGTGAGTGGTTAGCACAATGCTAATATACATGGAAAAACCCATAGGAATGCTGATGCCAATATCGCCGATTACATTCTTACAAATTACGAATTAGGAACATGCCAAATGATTACATTTGGAGTCTAATAAAATATAAAAACTGCCATCAATCAAATAAATACAGACAGGTATTTTAGTAAAGCTATAAAACTGTAAGAAACTTTTACTCCACAGAGTTTTGGCTAGCAGCTATTAACATAACTGAACTATGGAAGCTCTGCATAAACAAGACGTCAAAAACTCTAAACACAAAACACTTCAATAAATAGGACGCACTTCTTTCCTGCTAATACATTTTCACAGTTGATGCTAATACCTATGCTCCTTCAAGGGATGTGCTACTGGCTACAAAACATTGCACCTTCAAATACAAACTTTTGTCTTTACTTGTGAGTGTTTATGTATATGTAGACAAATAAACTTGACATGATATGTAGATAAATATGTAGATACATAAACTTGTTTACATTCCGCACAAGTTTTTTTCCTTCCATTTGTTGAAGAATATGAGAAAAGCCCCTTCAGAAAGTAATCGTGAATTAAATTGCAACAGCAATATTGAAGAAAAAAATTGCAATTAGATTATTTTCCAGAATCGTTCAGCCCTAGTTCCTACTGCATAATCTGGGTTTTCAGCACAATTAGAACCAGTTCATCTTCAGCAATACCAACACCTTTATATGCATTTAAAAAAACCCGACATGAGTCTAGGGGAAAAGTTTAGTTTTATGGTGACGTGTATGAAAATACAAAGTTGATACAAACATGTATGCCAATTGTTTCATCAGGTGGTGCAAAGACACATCCTTGTTTCACATTAAAAGTGAAAAGTAATGAATCCTTCTTAAGTTCATATGGTTGTTAGTCTTATTAGAGTTAATCATAAAAACATTAGTAGCATTAACAGCTTCATATAAAGGTGTATAAAGGTGGATTCAATCCCCAGATGACCAACTAACAAAGTTTTTTTCTTATCTAACATCACAGCTCAATGCAACATTTATGACATTTGGCTCCAAGAGAATTAAACTTTATCTGTGAATATGCAGTGAACAATAAAGGGGAACATTTTTAAATAAACCAGACAAACTATGTGAAAACCTCTAAATACGCCGCTATAATGTGAAATTAAAGATGAGCCAAAATACATTTTCAACCAGATTATCTTAACTGCTAGAACACGACGAACCTGGTGCCAGGTACATACGCACTTCCAGTAACAAAGTTGTAACAAAATTGTACCAAAAACACGCTTAATATGTACCAATATGTGCAAACTGCACACGTACGTAACGGGAAGAGGCTCATCTAAACGACAGAATCCACGTTTTCTACCTCAACAACACACAATGCCAACAATAAGCAACACTAAGCAGTTGATTGAAAATTCCATAAAAACATGTTAACTCCACCAAAAACACATAGTAGTGACAATGCAATAAGATCCTACCCACAGCTCACAAACTCCACTTTGCCAAAGAACGAAGCAACGTCAGGTGGCTTTTAATATTAAATTCAAACCAAAGCAAAAGGAAAATTCTTCCTCGTTGACCTTCCTGCCCCACCTTACATCCAGACCCATTTATAACACGGTCAACATCCATCAGGTTTGTCCTGCATTTTATTTATTTTACTACATGAGCTGCTGATCGTATGAATGTGTGTGTGTGTATGTGTGTGTGCGTGCAGGAGCAATAAACTGTATTATTATTATTGATTCTTTGTGTAAACATTTCATCAGAGCATGGGAGCAGAGCAAAGGCTTTCATCTCTGCAGATTTAACATGTGCACACATTTAGTTTTTGTTCTGCTCTTGTCGCCACCACAAGATCAATTTCAGTGAAGAAACCAAACACAGCCAAAGACATAGAAGAGACAAACCAGGAACAAAACACAAACATCGAGCAGGTGTCGGTCAGGGTGTCAGGCAGGAGTCTCTAAACAGCAGTGAGCTCAGCAGACAGGCTTGACAGAAGCACGTGGACGTGGGCTGAGTTGGATCCAGCAGCTCATTCCCTCATCAATCACTCCACCGTCTCCCGCTGCATGGCCAGGTCATCACCTCTTTCTAATTGCCTGTTTTTCTGTTTATCTTCGCTACGTCCCTCACTCTTGACCTCAGCCAGTGCATCCAAACCATCTTTCTGCATCAGCAAAAAGACATCATCCTGCACAAACTTAGATTATGTTTATGTTTATTTATTTGGCAGACACTTTTATCCAAAGCGACGTATCATTTTTAACTTGTAGGGCATGTTGTGATCTGTAGGGGAAACCGGAGTACACTGAGGAAACCCACGCATGCATGGGGAGAACGGGCAACTCCACGCAGAAAGGCCACAGCCGAGTTTTGAACCTGCAACCTTCTTGCTGCAAGGCAACAGTGCTAACAACTGCGCCACCATGCAGCACATTAACTCGTGAGTCTGGGAAGCTTACTTCCCCTCACGTTTACTTTTCTGTCTATTCTATTAATTTAATGCTAGTTGGGGCAAAGATGAATGTGATGATGCTTGTTTGTCAAAATAAAGATATAAAAGTTACAGAAACAATAACGCCGTGTTATTTCAGATTTTGTGTGTATTTAGGTCATAAATGCAGAATATGAAAGTAGATGAACACTCTAAGTTTATAAAGCTCCAGAAAAAGAAGAAGACAGTGTGAAGAAGTTAAAAGATCTATAATTGGGTGGGCGGTAAGGCAATACTGAGGCAGAAAAGAGGGGTAAGTAGCTAATTTTTCATATTCCTAAGACAGCTGGCTCAAAGAGAAAATCACACAAACGCACACACACAAATTCCTCCCTTCCAGCTGCTGCCAAGCCAATCAGCACTGAGAGTAATGGGGTGCATGTCCCCCTTGTGATTCTCAGGTGGAGGTAGCTGGACCAATCTCGGTCTCAGCTGCAGACTCCTGGGAAAACCCAGTCAATGATATTAGAAGGGAAAACAAAACGACCTCCACTGCAGCTGCACAGCAGCAGAAAGAACGTCCAGACAAAAAGAACCGGAAGAAAAAAGGTTACTGCAAAAAAAGCTGGGGAGGGGCAAGATGCAAACAGAGGCAACACTGGAGACCCCCATCTTTCCAGAAAAGAGACATAAAGCTGGATGGCCAGTGAGGGTTGGCTGCAGAGAGCTCCTCTGCAGTAAGTGGTTATTGATTGCATGACGAGAGCCCAAGAATTCCTCCTCTAGTGGAACCGATGAAAGATGCTGCTGACTTTTGGCCCTGCTTTCATAATTGCAAATTCAACAGAAACGTGGGAGAAGGAATGCACTTAACAGCAGACATAATCACCTTAACACAGCACATAAAAAAGATACGACCCGAATGAGAAACATTAGAGTAAACTCAGCGTTTAGGCACATTAATGAGAGGCTCTGGCACATCAGTGACCTTTTCAGCACTAATGATCGAGGATGGCAGCTGTAACAGTGGTAGGGACAGAATACACACACACACACATGCATGCATGCACACACGCACACACAGTTTGGAGTTACACAAGTAAATCAAGCCACACAGACAATATCTAGCTGATGCAAAGTGACCTTTGAAATCCAAATGGGACTAAAATCTGAACTCGGTTGGTCCTTCTAACACACACACACACGCACGCATGCACGCGCACACACACGCACGCACGCACACGCACACAACTGCTTGTTTAATCAGAAAAACTGATTAGGAGACACACTCCAACTCCTCTTTATTGATTACTTCTAGAGGTGCATCTGTTGCATGACGGCTCGGTGAGATTAAATATATTCATGTCAGAATTACAGTCTTTATGTGAAAATGTTAATTGTACAAGATATTAATGAACCTAGAGGCCTTTATACCACCGGTGTGTGTGTGTGTGTGTTTGAGAAAAGCTTAATGAAGATTTTCCCCAGGAATTAAGAGTTTGATAACTATAGACATGCAGCTTGGACCTACATGGACCTAGTCATTACCAAACTCATACATCAAACTTTCTTGACCTATTCAGACCAGAAACACTCAGCTGGAACATAAAATATTCATTTGTTGTATCAGATGTTTACATTTGAGAGAAACTCATTAAACATGACATATTATAATAAATAAATTAATTAATTATCACAGTAACGCATCATAGTTGCATGTTATTCTGTGATCACTCTGGAAAATTAGTAAAGACCATTAAAAGTAACTTAATTATGTTTTGGTGTCAGAAATGAGCCCTGTGTGTCTCACAGAAGCTATGAATTGATCCAGAGCCAACGATTCCTGATGAGACCTGATTGGTTCGATCAGATCAAGACGAATTAAGAGGTTCAGCTTTCCCTGGTGGCACTGCGTCTCTCCAGCAGCTCAAATGATTTAATCAGCTGAAATCAATGACGTATCCAAACATGTCGCCGCATGGGTTTGACATGGTTGTCTTTTCAATTTTAGCACAAACATTCATTCTTACCCTCAGATTCCTGGAGTTGCTCATCCTTTACGTTCTCGCTTCCAAAACTCTCCAAAAAATAAATAAAAAAGACCCGCAGGCGCGTTACGCAACCGCGCTGTCCGCTCAGGGTCCCGGACACGTCAAAGACCACAACTCAGCTTCTCCCCTCGAGGCATCTCCGTTTATTTCTTTACAGGCGTAAAACAGACAAACTCCGACGGCATTAAACGTCTGATGGCCCCGAGAGAGAGCGAGAGCGAGAGCGAGAGCGAGAGCGAGAGCGAGAGAGAGAGCGAGAGAGAGAGAGAGAGAGAGAGAGAGAGAGAGAGAGAGAGAGAGAGAGAGAGAGAGAGAGAGAGAGAGAGAGAGAGAGAGAGAGAGAGAGAGAGAGACCACGGGCTTCACTCTCTGGTTTGGAAACGTTCACGCATTCGAACCTCTCCGTCTAGAGCCGTTTGTTTCGGTCCAGACTGAAGACGCGCCGCCACCTCCAGCACGAGGAGGGATAAAGACTGACCGACTGATGGACCAACCAAGAGCCGTTTCTGAGGAGGCGGGTGTGTGCGTGCGCTTCACAGCGCGCGTGCCTAATCCGCGTGTAGCTGCGCGCAAACACAGCAGAATGAAATGTCACAGAAAGTGTCCAGAAGGGATCCTTAAGGAGCATGATCCCAGTTTCAGGCTCAATCAGCTCGGAGGTCATGAGAATCAGTCAAAAACACACTTCAGTGTTTCCTTTCTGGTGACAAAGTGACACAAAGATTTTCCCATGTGTGAGTCAACTATTTCCACAAGCTGTTTGTAAGAAATCTTATCCTTGTTTTATTAGTTCATTCAGCTGGAAAGGTGAGTGAATATCTGCAGAAAAGACAGTAAATGCAAAACTCAGTGATTAACTTTTGTGATCATTCATCTGTAGAAATGCTGCACCGATCTGCAAAACTTGGTATGACAGATGCTCACATCCAATTTTCATCTTTAATTAAAAAAAGATTGCATTTACACCTTTTAATCTGAGGACATTGTAACACATAACCAATAGCCAAACAACAGTCTTTATGAGTCCAATTCAGCGCTTTTGCTTAACATGCCTCTTTTTTGCACGACTCGGGTGCAGAGGGAAGCTGATGTGCAGTTGAGCGCATCGCTTCGTCAGCTGGTGATGTATGAGAGTGATTTGTGTGCAGACAGAAAAGAAAACACTGAGCAGTCCTTCTAGAATTAGATGTGGGAATAAAAACAGGGGTCAGCTGAGACCTTGGCTCCTGGAAGTCCTCTCTGGAAAACTCATAATGGAGTGTCCAGGGCATGTTTTTGCAAACACAAGCACAAGACAAAGTAATCCTGCAGAAAGCATGAAGAGTTGTTCCTGTTTTCTTTAGTTTTTTTTTCTCATGTAAACCTAAACGAGTCAAATTGAAAACAAGTGCAGTGTTTGTTTTGCTGTGAGCTGCTTGTGGATGAGTTGGAGGGTGGAAAGCAGCCCAGAGATGCAGCAGATGACGTGTGGGAGGATCAGGACGATGTCTGTGGGAAGATTTGGCTATTAGCAACAGAGGCGCAAAGTCCATCTCGTTGGAGCGATGATAGATTTGTGCATCTGGCCAGACGAATGCAATCCTCCATACTTTTAACATAAAGGAGCAAAAATTAGCAGTCAGAAATGAGAGATGCTGATTCTGGTTTATCGATTTTCCTTAAAGAGCAAGTCACCCCCTACAATAAACTTACTTCATTCCCACTTCATGTTTGAAAAATGCAACAAATGCTGTTGCTTGGCAGACCAAGAGGGCGGAGCCGCTAACAAATACACACACACACAGGCTCACAATGGCATTATGACATCAGAATATATCAGATGACATCATAGCATACCTCTTAGCCAATAGCGGTGGCAGATTTAAATTCAAATACAGTGCAGAATTTTTCCCTGACGACGGCGCAACACTGACAGTTTTAGGCAGAATATTTGAATTTTAACCAAGATGCACTGAAGTACCAAATTATTGACTACACATGTCTGTAGCATGATTAGACACTCCTTTATATAGTTTATCAGCAAAAAAAATGTGATTTGGGGGTGACTTGCTCTTTAAGATCTAAATTCCATATTTTTTAATCACTGGTTGAGCTGATCTTGCCAAATGTCAACCAATTCAAACACCGTTTGATTTTTTGGGGCGCATGTCTATCAAATACCCATAAGCATGACAAAAGATTGCCCTTTAACCCTCCTGAACCCTCCCCAACCTTTCGTCATGTCGCTCTGGGTGCAACAACAGCGACAGGCCTTGATCATTTCAGACTTAGAGCCGTAAATATCCTTCAGGTAATCAGATTAAGGTTCCTCAAACAGCCAGGAGAAGTGCTGTACTCACACAGGTGAGTAACACCATTATGAAGCTCTGATTTGATCAACAGAACAGTGTTGAGATTTTAACTCTTATACATTCTTGAGTCTGTAGGACTGTTCAAATCTATTAAATACATCCCAGTTGTGTTGCTGTGAAACTCAGTGGCTCCAGCTGAATGAATGAAGGCATCATTTACTCTAGGCTTAACAGGATAAGGCATTCCTTCAGCCGGACTAACCTACTTAGCCCTTCCTGTCTCAGAGTCAAGCACTTCCTATTGACTCACCAGCAACAGCTTTTCCCTTCATGCTCTCACCATTCCTTCCTTCCCAACAAAGAAGGAAGGGAATCTGATATTAAAACTGCACAACTAGATCATGATTTGGATTCGGATTGACATTACGACCGAATGCCTTTATATGTGGTTTGGAAGCTCTTTAGTGATTAAACTCCCTCTGGTGTTGGAGGAGCTCACCCTGTCAGCCCTCTGTTGGCCATGTGAGGACATAGCAATGTCTGCACACGCTCAGTCACAATCTTTCACTCGCCCTCACAGCTGAACACTATATTATGTGTGTATTGTGGTTTTGTTTCAAGCTCGGGCAGATCGGTTTTCCTCCCAACGTCAGACAGCATGAATGTCTTCACAGCTGCTCACGGACATGACTGTTGCCTGACCTCAAGTGTGCTGAGAGTGGACTGAAGCCAGACCTAAAATAGACATCATCATGGTTTAAGGAAGTGATATTCTTAGACTTATTGCCAAAGTGTGTTTTAAGTAGACTCTGGAGCGGAAGTAACGTGTAAAGCTTTTTAAACGCTGATGTTTCTCATTCATTTTGGAGTAAAGATGTCTCCGACGCGGGGAAATATGACAAGCATCATGTTAGAAGCATTATGTGAATGACTCCGTCAGGGATCACACAGTGACAGCTGTGGTCACACACTGTGAGGACATGAGCTGAACATGTAGGCTGAAAACAGTGTCTAAATATACCTGCCTGAATAGTTACATAACAGTTTGTATCCACTGCAAAACTCACCTTATACATCCTTTTGTGCTGCCATGCGTGCCTCTGATGCCTTTATAAACACTCAAAATGTAAAAAAAAAAAGGTCTGTCTATCCATTTTCTCTCAGTGTTTGGTTTCAGGAATCATGTGCCTAAAACACACCATTTCCTAAGTCCCTATTTGTGATGTCACAACGCTGCTGCTGGAGGAGCAGCAGCTCTACTCCAAGCACCTTCTGGATAGTGGAGCTTCTCAGCTTATAGCAGCTTGAGCAGAGGATGGGTGGGCGTGCCTAGTCCCAGCTTGTTTTCTTAAAGTGACAGAGCCCTGAAATGGCTCATTGTGCAAATACTGAAACTGCTGAAATCGGTTTATGTCAGAGGGATTTAGAGCAAAAAACTTCATAAACATGATTTGTATCGACCATAAAACTACTATAACTTAAGAAATCAAAATTTTAAATGTCCCCTTTAATGCGTCTCAGCCAATTGTATCAAGTCACATTTCTTCACAGAACCAATAGGAGCACCTGACCAGCTCTTTAGTGAAACCTGGAGGTGTGATGGGCTGATCTTTTCATCTCTTGAGAGCGAGGAGGTTAGCGATAATCTGAGCTGGATACAGAATGTTTATCTAAAACCTAAAGGCAGGGAGCTTTTATCAAGTAGTTTCATTACGGTAGGGATAATAGAACACTAAAAAACTCATCAAGCGAGAGAAAAGGAGAGACCACAGAAAATAGGCACAACAGCTGTCCAAGGAATCCACCCCTCTTTCAAACAACACAGGCTTTTCAAAATGCGAACATGAGCCTTAAACCCCAACATGACATCATCTAGCCTGAGCCAGATCTCATTATGACAAGACAGGGAGCTATTTCGTTTTTATCAACACACTGTACCACAATGAGAGACCTCTTCCAGCTTTAACCCCTAGATCTGCCTTAGCCTTAAATGAATAATAGATGCGTTTGGAGTCTATGCGGAATACTTATGAGTAGTCAGTGTGTTACCTGCATTAGGCAGCAATCAAAGCAATCTCAGGGGAGAATTGCAGGGAAATTGTAATTCATGAGGAATCTTCCTGCTCATCTCCTGCTCAGAGGAATTGTTTGTGCTCTTCAAGACTGATAAGCTAACTGCTAGTCTAGGTAGAGACAAAACCACAGTGTATTGACCCTTTGCACATACACCACTTGATCGCGTGGGTTTTCCGGTAGTGATACAAGCTGCAATTTTGAACCAAATGACGTTTATGCAAAGACTTCTGTGGCAGACCAGTGTAGCGTGAGGATTAATTAAAACTCTTAAATTTCAAACTTGTCTTTTCATTGAACTGAAACACAGACACGCGGATATGATCGTCAGTTTATCGATGAAAACAACCTTTGAGTCTTCTTATCTCTATAACATTTCGTTATTAATTTGTAAAAATTAATATTCCAGATTATTCTGTAGAATGGTTCCTCTTTAATAAAAGAGCCATAAATCATTACACTACACCAGTAATCCAAGTAGTTCAGTAGTATTACAGTAATCCAAGTGAGAAGTGACAAGACTATTTACTAAGATGATATAAAGACAAGTTGAGTTTACACCCTCATCTGTTAGTGCAGCCAACCTCACAGCAAACTGTGACCATTTTACTGGGAAATCAACAAAAATAAAAACTTATATAAAGGTACAAACTACAGGTGTTCTGATCATGTGATCTTCAGGAAATCAGAATTGGTGGGAAATAGCGGATATCAACCATTTAAAATGACTAACATTACTTTTTAAATCATTCCATGTCTAGAAGGTTTGGTGCTGTCCTTGAAATTCACGGTGATCATACAAAATACTAGATGTAGTAGTTTTAGTTGTGGGGTGTATACATTTTTGCTTCGACCGATTTTAGTAAAACTGAAAAATGTGTGATCTAAGTTATATTATTAACCTTAATGTCATGTTATGGAGTTAAACAAGTGTTCAATAAAACCCAGGCTTGTTCATTGAGCTACTGATTAAATTTGTACTTTCTAAAGGGGTTGTACTCATTTACGCTGAGCACTATATGTCACCTGATCACGTGGGTGTTCTGGTAATGATACGAGCTGCAGAGTTTTGAACCAATTGACATTTGTGCAAAGACTTCTGGCAGACCAAAGAGGAGGAAATGACATTAGTCCAAGGGAGAAGAGACCAGACTATTTACTAAGATGATAAAAAGAAAAGTTGAGTTTACACATGTGTCTGTTAGTAGAGCAAACTAATATAATTTAATTGTGAAATCAACTTAATTAAAGAATAAAAGGCTACAAACTGGCTTGCTTTGACTAGTTTCACTGGAGCTTCAACATGCATAAACAGTTTCTCAGCTGCTCAACATGGCAAAGGGGGCGGGGTCCTATGAGCAGCGTGACGTCACGTGCAAAGAGTCAATTGCTGCAATCCAGAAACATCTGGATCTCCAATCATCTCCAATCTTTGGCAGCTCTTCTTTAAAGATCATTAATAAACTTTTACAGTCATAAATGCCCCATAACACAATTCTTAAGGCTGTTTTAAAAGTTACATTTCACTATAGCTGGAGCTAATTATAGCACATCCGGTGCATCGAAGGGTCCATTTCAGCAGATTTTTTTAACCCTCCCATTGTCTTTATGGGTGACCCAGTGAGGAAAGTTGATCATTGAGCAGGAGTGATGGTTTATCCCTTGAGGTCCATTGGCAGGTGTGAGGTGGTGCTCACTCCTCACCCCTGCCAAGTGGACCCATGAAGACAGTGGGAGGGTTACATAGTTCAGATGAAGTAACGTCACAAAAAACCTGATAAATAAAATAATACCAACTCGTACAATTTTAAAGACTGGATCCATCTTTAGACTGCAGCAAATTGCTTTGTTTCTGGTTGATTTAAGACTAGCCATTAGCTTATCAATCCGTAGCCCTTTGCCTGCCTGGTCAACTGATTGGTAGAGCATATCTAAAGTCCCTATAACTCACTGAATCAGCAAATGAACTTAACAAGAAACAGAATAATTTTAAAAATATGATTGAGTTGTTTGAAGAAAAGGAGTAACATTATGACATTACATCATTATTACATTAATATTATTACAACTATTACATTGTTATTATTATTGATTTCATTAAACTAAAGCCTTTATTGTCCCAAATCAAAAAATGCAAAAGTGGAATGTTTTCATGGCTTTTTTCTTGGTGAGGAAGTGAAAGGAAAAAAATTATGCTCCCTGTTAGGAAATCCAAAAAATCCACCCAAGACCCTTTACGTAAATGTTTACATTTTGACCCATTTGCATCAGATGGATATTTACACAAGACAGTCCAAATGTTTCTGAAAAGCCCAAATATAATACAGAATAACTATCTTACGTTATAGGGCGTAAAAAACCACATCAGAATGTTAACTTGAATGGCTATAAAATGTTTGATGTCTGATTGTTTCAGATTGAACTGCATCTCTTCTTGCGAGCTTGACTCCCTATTTCTTCCTGATTCTATGGAACAAAACCTGACTGCAGGTAAATACTGACACCAGAGTTATTTCACACAAACACATATCTGAGCTATCCCTTCAGGTCGAGTCTCTGCTGCCGCTTCCATATCCAAACCCTGGAACTACAACCCGGGACAGATCATTTTACTGTGTTAGTTGTAAGATTTAAAGGAACCAAAGCAGCCAAACCACTATTAACACTGTGTTTATTAGATCTCACAGACTTAGAGTAAATTAGTCACGGAGACATGAGCAATTAACGCAACTCATTATTCCAAAGAGAATGAAAGTTTCTTTTTATTCTTGATGAAAGCAGCAGAAACACTCAGATGGTCAGACAGCAGCTATGCAAACGCTGACAGAGACCATCCAACTGCCAAACACACACACTCACACACACACACACACACACACACACACACACACACACACACACACACACACACACACACACACACACACACACACACACACACACACACACACAGACCACTTTAGATCCCGCGTGGAGCAGCTCAGCTTAAGACAACTCGTGTTCAGCTTCAGCTGCGGATCGACCTGTTTGATGGGGCTAATTGTTGGTTGCAGAGCTCTTGCCTCGCACTTGTTTCAATTCCCGCCTCTTCAAACTTCCACCTACTCTCTGTTCTAGGACGCTCGCTTTGTAGAAAAACATCAGTGATAGGAACAGAGAGAACAGATACGGTGAAAAAGAGAGAAACATACACAAATAGACCCGTTTAAGAACACCCACAAACACTTTACATAATCCTCGTGGCATAAATCAATATCTTGCACTGAATTTTACACAGGGTGCAGACTTTATCTGAGAGGCAGGAAAGAGACCAAATGCATCATGTGGAGTCAAGTTCTAGCACAATAGCAGGCTCTGTTTTTAAGATAATGTGTGTTCAAAGTAACAGTCTGATAAGCGGTTCTCACATCATTCAAAACGGTTTGTAAACATGTCTTGGTTGGGGGCTCCATTTGTGGAAGACGGATAAATCAACCACAGTCTCATAAAAGTAAAAAAAAACGAAGGAATATAAGAAAGACAGGATGACAAAGTCTTGCTACAGGAGGAGAAGGAGGAAGCAAGGGAGGCCAGGTCGGTGTTCCAATAACAACAACACCTTGGGCTCGGTGTTTTCTCCTCCCCAAATCTCCTGGCTCTCGCCTGCTGTTTCAGCATCTAACTGGTTTCTGCTCACACAGAGGTTCTATTCAGAGCCGAGCAGCTCCACCTAACCGCTGCACGGGGCGATGGCTCTGCGATCCATCCAGGGGGCTGTTGGGAATGTTTGGGTGCAGAAACGAGGCGAGGCGTCAGCTGATTTGGACTGAAAACAGTAGAAGTAAAGCTAACTGGAGGTGTGTGATGTGACTCAAAGCCTCCTTTATCCACACACACACACACACACACACACACACACACACACACACACACACACACACACACACACACGCACACACACGCACGCACACACACACACACTGCTCGTTTTTGGCCTACTCTGCAGAAAGAACTGTAAAGTACTGTAGAAATCCTGGGAACAGAAGCCAAATACACACTTTTAACACAGAACAGACACAAACTCCAGCATACAAGCCTCACAGGTAAATAAACACAGCTAAGGCTTCTTTCAAAGTCACCAGATTTTCTGAGAATCCAGAGTAACAGCCCTAACTTATTCAAATGCTGGATAACTTACACTATTAGACTATTACTCTTTGCAAATATTTTCTTACACACACTCTCAAAAGTAAACAGACAAACACAGCCGAGCTTGGCTGGGAGGGGTGTGTGAAGGGGTCTGTTGTGAAGGAATGTGTTTTGGTTCTGACACGACGTGTGTATCCTGCCACAGAAGGGCAGCAAATTATTAGCTTTAGCATGGCTTCCACTTGTGTATCCTGGAGCCTCACAGGTTACCTAAACAACATCCCAGCTGAACACACACACACACACACACACACACACACACACACACACACACACACAAACACACACACACACACACACACACACACACACACACACACACACACACACACACACACACACACACACACACACACACTACATTTAAACTGCTCACTAATAAACTAAAACACTGACTTTTATGCAAATTTTGAAACAACATATTTATTTTTGTTAAAAAATGCATTAAAACGTTTTTTAAAGCTGATTTATTGAGAAAAAAATGCATTTGGTCGTAATAAAGGGCAAAGAAAAGATTAGATGTGATGTGTTGTTCTAACAAACACACAATAAAAAATCATGTCTATAAAGTCCAAAAGTTTCGAGAGAAAAAGGGGAAATTATGGAAATTAACTATTTCTAAAAATGCACACAAATTGTGGAACATTCAACTGCAGACTGCGTTATTAAAAGATTCAGAAATACATTTGTGTCAAAAAACAGTTGACACAAAAATGATAATAAAACATCATTCAAAAAGCACTGCACTAAAACTCATTCTGATATATCAATCAGCCATCATATCAGGCTGAAAAATCTATTTAGTAGAGCCGATTTAAAAACAGGCACATCTGCGGACAGCCCTGTGCTGCTTCTGAATTTTAGGTATATTTATGTTCCTGAAAAACACCTGCTTAATAAATGCTCTACAATAGGGCTGGACAATAATTAAATAACAATAATGGATAGACGTATGGCACTATAAAAAAGAATGGGTCAATAAAAACGTCAATAAAAAGTTTCCGTTCTTTTTTCTATCATAGCCTATCAGGCAGCTTAATACTAGAGTCGTTACTCACTCCCAGCCAATCAAAACACAACCTGCTCCAGCACCAAGCCCTACCCTCTCAATCCAAAACAGACAGCAAGATGAGTAAAAAGATTACAGTAGTTCACCAACACGGCGATATTTTGGTTTTTACAAGTCAGACAAAAAAAGATGCAACGGCCAATAAAAACATTTAGAGAATCAGTTAAAATCCCGTTTGGAAACACAACCAACTTGTTTTATCACAAAGTAATGACCAGGCAGCACTTAAAATATACTTTCTACATTTTTGATAACTATCAGTAATTATTGATATCAATCAATATGAGTTTTTTTTATTTATATGCTGTTAACCATTACTGTACACTGACATTTCCTTTTATTCACCAGTTGTTTTATATTAAAGTCTTGGTTAACATATTGATCTGTTTGATGAACTTTGGTTAAATGTTTGATTTTAATACTGTGCAAAAAAAATAGTTTTTTATAATAAGAGTTGGTTAAATTCTGAGTTCAATACCTGATTAGGTTCTGGAATGTTGCACATCCACACGTGGTCAAGATATCGGCCACATATCGGCATTGGCTGACTAGGACCTCTACTTATCAGCATCGGTATGGGAAATAGAAAACTCATATCGATCGATGTCTAATGGGCAGGGACTGATTTTTATGTTGCATAACAGAAACCACACGATCAATCTTTCAGAAATATTGTTCAAAAACGAACAAAAGCAATCACTTAAAACACATATGTCAGAGTCAAGCATTTTTATGTGGCCCGCGAGATAAATATCAAAAATATATTAAATGTGTTCACGACTGAAAGAGAAAGTTTTCCAACTAACGTCCAGACAGAGCTGATATAACTCCAGCGAGCAGCGACACGCTCAAACCAGCACGACTCTGTGGCTGCTGTCGTGTTTCCTCCCCGACACACAACAACGCGGTCAAGCTGCTCAGACATGTTCATCAGCACAAACCTATGTGAGCACCTGTTGTCATCTGATGTTGTCATTATTATGATGAAGATGAACAAAACAACAGGAGTCTCCTCCTCAGCTCAGATCAACCCCATGATGCAGGTATCTGGCTGGAACAGGTGAGCATCACAGTAAACCAGTGGAGCAAACTGAGCTTTAAATATGTTGGTTTTCTGCTCCTTTTCTGCTCCAAAACATGAAAGTTAACAGGTGAGATGTTGCATTTTCATTTAAGATAAAATTATATTTTTATTTTGTTGTTGGCCCGTGAGAAAAGATTTAACCTACAGTAAACAGGAAGTGGAAAGGCTGCAGATAGATGAATAGAATAGAAAATCCCTTTATTGTTCCTCAGTGGGGAAAGCTAGACGTCACAGCAGCGATGACACTTATTACAGGAGAAAAAATGGAGAATAAAAATAAGAAAAATGAATAAACAAGAAAACGTAAATCCTGAATAGATTTTAAAAATGCTGATTATACCACAAGTAATGAATACACTGATGCCTTTTATTTAAAACTGACTTGCTCATGTGTAATTTGGTTATTCCACATTCAGTGTTAATGCAAAAATAAGTTTGTTTCCAAATTTAAAGGTTCAAAATTGCATTTATGTTGATAAAGAAAATGTGCAAATTTGCCGTCACTTTTTCAAAAAAATATTAAGTTTGGCCCTCGACTCCGTCCCAGAGTTTCATTTCGGCCCCTTGTGAGTTTGAGACCCCTGACTTAAAACATTTATTCCTTTAATTTTAATTTGGAACTTAGGTTTTAAAATAATTTAGCATCTAAATGACTTTAAAAACAAGGCTGCATGAAAAACTTCACTAAGGCTTCATGACACAAATAAAATTACAAACAAGTCTTGAACAGAGACCAAAAAATGTTAACCAGATTAACCTTCGATCTCCCTGCAGTTCCTCTTCACAGATCAGATGTTCCTCCTGTCAGTTACAGCGAGCTAGAAGACACTTTAATGTCCAAATCCAGGCTGGGACTGACCAGGTTTTCTTCTGTAAAACCCACATCTGTAGCATCTAGTGTTACTGAAGCTATGCTCTGGATGGGTCATACTCCACAGGGAAGTGATGAAATTGTTAGTTTGTTTTCAGACATGACATCACATCTGCAACGGATCAAACTGAATCATTCAAAACATTCATTCCTTTGCAATTACATCGTCTCACACAGAAGATCCAGTGATCAGAGCAGATCCTGAGGAGTCTGATGAGCAAAACGTCTGCGGCTCTGAGACCAGATGAAGAGGCGCCACGGGAACATCACATTACCATGGAGTCCAGAGTCGGTAAAACTAGGCCTTGTTGGAGCTAAGTTTAGAGTTGTAGAGTGTGTGATAGGTCAAGGATGAGTCTGGGCTGAGGCAGCAAGAAGCACATCTGACCCCTATGTGAGCTCACATGCAGGGGGGGTTAAAGAGCTACAGCTACTACAACGTGTTCAACGTATCTCTTTTTACTCACGAACGCCTACAGAGCTCCTTAAACATGAAGTTTTTCAGTTTGTCAGAACCAAATAACCAAACACACATGCATAAG